AAATCAACTGGGCCACACCAATTTGATTTTCTATTCTTCGGAACACCTATAAATAATTTCCTTCCTTTTTCTTTGGTATGGCCTAAGTAATAAATTAATAGATTTGATATCTAATAAAACTATATACCGTAGACCTAATTTAGCCTCTATTCAAAACTTGACAATTTTTTTGGACAAATTCATTAAAAGTACTACTGGCTCTTTGATGTTCTACCAACATAACAGTTTCAAGGTACCAAATCACAGCCAGAACCTTAAATCTGGCAACTGATACATCTTTGACTATTATCAAAACATAACAATATTTATTAAGTCATAACAACATTTACATGTAAGTGGTTTTATATTCAAATGTGAATAAAACTGTCCAAAACAGCAATGTTCCTCATGGCGACTCGCCAACATCCTGGCAATAAACAGACCATTGTGATGAAGAAAGTGATGAGTCATGAAAAGCCTTTAAGACAATTCAAATTTTCTGAACCCAGTTAATTACTTTGTCGGAATGTTAGTGGTAGCTAGACATATACAACTGATATATTCTTTTGCAAGAAAGGTAAAAAGTCAATAAACCGATTGTTACGAATATTTTTTAATGAGACTGTAAAAGAATTTTCTAACATCTATAAAAATGTGCTTAATAAACAAAGATCAGTTTGTGTCATCAATGGATTTTAAACATTCTATTGGATAAAATACCTATAAATTATAGACTTTAGAATGTTTTATTGTAATTTTGTATGACACATACTGCAGAATTAACATTCTCCTAATTTTTGCACAAAGTTTATAGTATTCCAAAAGCACAATTATTAACCCTCTAGTACCATTAAAAGTAAAGCATGACCACATAAATTGGAAAATGATAGAACAAGTACCCAGCAAATGGACACAATATGACAAAAGACAGACATTGTTAAGCCAGCACATAATTAGTAAATTAATTGAACATCTTTAGCCTCTGTACATGCTAATTACAATGATTGCGAATGTTTCAGGAGTAGAAATTGATCCAACATTTTTAAACTTAAAAAAAATTTGGGTTAACAATTAACCACAATCAACAGTCAAAGATTAAACTGTCACAACAGCAATGTTCTATATGACAAATGAATAAATCCAGAATCTGATTTCTGAACACTTTCCTACAGATTTTATATTGGATTGTTGAAAAGATACAGCGAACAATGTTTCTGAATTGGTAACATCTTCCATTAATTACTGATTGCATCAAAGCAAAGGTGATTTTTTATACCATTTAACCTTTTTATCAAAAAACAATCAAATAAAAATATATCCTTTTTGAGTCATTCCTTAAACTTAACCTTAAAGTGGCCATCTGAATTATAACTGATGACAATTTGAGACCTCCAGACTAATATTCAAAGCTTTTGGACAAAAATCATACATAGATAATATAAAATTCAGACAAGACCATGAAAATAATAGATTCTGCAGGCTTGTGATTCATATAGACTGTGTAGGTAGAAGCATTTATTTTAAAAATATATTCCTGGAAGTCTACAATAGATAATAAATCTGTAGTGGGGATGAATCATTATCTGATTTATAATTCGAAGATGACTGTTTCAATGTACACTCTACACTATGAATGAATAAAGTGAATCCCTTGATTTGATTAATACAGGATGTCTCTGAATGGATATGCTAATGTCAATGTTACTTTTCAATATCAATATCCAAGAGGCATCTCTTTTTTTTTTTAGGTGAACTCTGGTATTGTCTTAACAAACTACAGGGAGAAGATTGATCATAAAGTTCTGCTAATCTCTCAGTCCAGACGTTTGTATTAACGTTATATAGTCATGTGATTCAATCATTTCTACCTCCCATATGGAAGAACTCTATTTTCCAATATGCCTGTGTCTCCCTTGATACCACTTTGGTAGACAGGTGGTCATGTGACTTTGCTGTCTGTCGGTTGATGGGCGGGAAATTGGAGTAAAATCTGTTGCTAAATGTCACGGGATGATCCTCCAAGAAATTTAAATTTCTAGAGATTACTGCCAGAATTACAGAAATAAATTATTCAGGTTTTCATTTGCAGTGTAGCTCTAGAGAGCAAAAACAACAAAAGTTTATACCAACTAATAAAGTGCATATGGCTCCAAATTTCTAGTGAGCAATGATCTTTTTTTTTTGTCACAAAATAAGACAAATTATACTTGTCATTTGACTGATCTTACGTTAATTTCATTTTTTTTTTAAAGCATTGGAAATTTTTGCTTTCTATGCACATATACTCGACAAAGAATGTGATTATAATGATCAGGGACATTGCCCAACAGCTATGGGATAAGTTTGAAAAGCAACACAGTATTTCTGGAATACTGGCAACATCTGATTACCTTGTGTCTAACTGCAGTACCAAGCCACTTATCACCCTCACTATTTATTGTATGATGCAACATTGTGTTTGTAAATGCATTCATCATTTGCCTTCAAATATGAACACTATTTATCAATAAAAATGACACTGTAGGTGATAAGTAAAGTCTAGTAGGCTAGAATGTGACAAAATATACAAAGTCCATCTGTGAAACAGGAAGTTAAAAAAGCCACATATCATATATCTGTCATTCAAACCAAGGAATGATAGCTGCAGCACTTTCTTTCACATATATACTTCATAAGGCACTTGTCATTTGTAATAAAATTCACCCAAAGATATAAATGTCTTTAAATTCCTGCTAAAATATTTTATTTACATGACTAGCACTCTGTGACCAATGGTTCCAAAACTGCTGCCATGAGATAGCCTCAATCATGAGGTACCGACTGATTGATACTGTCTTTACAGTATTTTATTAACCACAACACTCTATAAATACAGTCTCAAAGGGCACAAAGACAGTAATAAATGTAAATAGTTTGATGAAGATGGACAAAATTATAAAAGTATATATATTATTACATGCCATGTGCCGATGGGGTCAAAGTTGAAGACAATTAACATACAGGTTATTGATACTATCTTCCTTCAAGGTTAGAGAAACAAATACGAAAATGTGTGTAATAAATTTAAATTCTTTAGACGACATGTTAAATAAACTAACTTATTTTGTATTTAAAAATCCAAAGGTACGCTTTTAAATATTTATGCCAGAACAAATCATCAACCTGATTAGAACAGGTCGAAGTAAGGAAAGATGAAGAAATGAATGAATTAACGAATGGTTAACTTAAAAACATATCACTAATAATTTAGACCTATTATTATGATCAAGTTTTTCAGTGCCCAGCTATTGTGCAACAGATATTTTAATCTAGAAAAATTTTATTAAATGTGAATAAATAGTGGGCGACGGTTACCGTTGGGTTTCCAATGACCATGTAACCGACATTAGTTATTGCTGAAATAGAAACAGCATTAATCTCAAAAATTTTAAATTCCATCTCAATAATTAATAATGACCTCAAGTAGCATGTATATTTCACAAACAATTAATTAACCGCAGCCTTATATCTCAGTAATTCCTAGACAAAATCCCTTAAACATCTTAATTTGTGATTGGCTCTGACTAAAGGATTTACATGTCGCAAGCCTCTCATTTAAGATAAGGCACAAAATACACACTTTTATTTTTACTGGTTTATATTTTCCAGGATATCGTTTTTTTTGGAGTATTGCTAAATTTGTTTCTTTGATCGAGTCTCGCTTAATTTGTTTGTTCCTGAATATTCAATAGCTTTTCTAAAAATAATGTTATAGTGTATACCAACCTAAAAGCTAACTCTGCCATTAATTTTAACAAGATAAATGCATATATCACATATTTATCAATTTAAGGGGCTTTGAATACAGAAGTTAAATTTATGCATAATTGTGTTTTAATTTTTTTGACCTATGTGTTCCATTTAACCTCTAATATTTTACTATCATTAGATTTACTGTAATACAACTCTAATAGGTCTTCCAAGACATTTCTGTAAATTAGAGTTTGATCGTTAAATCTAGCATGGAGAGACAACACCTTTAAGTACATCTTCCCTTTATAATATGTCTTCATTATGACACCTAATGCGAATTCATATTATTAAGCTTTTAAATGAAGTTATTCATACGCCCCATAGATGATTGTAGCATCATCTCTGAAATAATGGCGTCTCACAGACGAAAGGTGGCAAATTAGTTTCGTAAGTCGTGTCAAGTAAATCCCCAAGGTGTCAAGTAGGGACATTAAGACATGTTAAATTAGTCACCAAACATTAGTGGAAGGTCAACTACTTGGGTCGCAATCACAACTCCAAAAAGGATTAGAAAGAAATTGAATTCGGCAAATCATGGATGTGAATTGTTTGAGAAGGATTAAGACATTGCCTGACCAATTTTCTCATGTCAAACTTCTGAAAGTTAATTCCAGCAAATAACGACACCTCACGCCATCATGTAGCTGTATAAGTTGATAAAGAGTAAATCTCTCATGTGGAAGTAATGCCGATAAAAAAACAGGAGTAACTAGTAAAATGTTATATGTTGGCTGAACTGTAGACAATGAACATTTTGTAATTGTGTCACTAGATTGAGTGTGATTAAGGATCATATTAAAAAAGTAAAGATTAATTGTACAAGGAACTTCCTTCTGAAGTATCAGTACATACACCTGTAAACAGAAGTACCATATCTTTTGGCATTTTAGGCGCACATTTTTACCACTTAATCTCTAGAAGTACTGTTAGCTACATGAGCTTACCAAATAAATAAATAATGGTATCAAGTGTTCGTCTAAATTAATACAACCTGTTTCCTACAATATTATTCCCGACTGTATTTCTTAGTCTATATCTCGCCTCAAAGTTTTCCCAGCTAATAGCTTTCTATCGACAAGGAATCTTTACCTTTCTCATCTAAAGCCTTTCCTGCTATTTTTATCCCACCCATTCGAGAGTATTCCTTATATCTTCTATATTTTTCTGTTACAAGTTATTATTTATATCTCCCTTCAAGTCACACTTTGTATGAAAAATATTGTACTTACCAAGAAGAGGTGCTACTCCTACTTGAAGGACTTCTCACTTGATCAGAGACACTTCCAATACGAGATGCAGCGTGTAGAGGTTCAGGTTTCTCAGAAGATTTACTCTGCATGCGTTGACGGCACAAGTCCTACAATAAACAACATACTTTACTTTCTAGTTCTTTTCCATCAAGGACTTCATCTGGGGTAAACTTATCAGAATTGTCAGCTTGTCAGTAGCTGATTAAATATATTCTTTCAAAGTGACCTAGTGAATATTTTCTAGGTTCATTTTATCCATCTTAATTTTGCTGAGGCAGGAGTGTCACCACCCACTTTTCATCATTCATGTGCCCTTCCTATAATACGTATAAAGTTTCAAACCGGAGAATTATTTCTCCATCTAGCCTATTACATTAATGAAGGAAAATAATTTCTCAACAACATAAAAATAAAATAAGACCTTCATAATGGGATTCTTTTATAAGAAACAAATATCCAGAAACAGAATCTCTTTAAAAGAACATGAACAGATTCTTAAAAACATTCTACCTGATAGTCTTTGGAGGCTTCGTTTCCCTCTGCGTTATCGGCAAGTTCCGCCAGTTTTTCTTTGGATCGGGACTGACGTTTAATTAAGTAGATGACAACAACAGCAAGTAAGATTCCAGCAATACAACCAACAAGAATAAAGGTGAGAACCACATATTTATTCTCATCTTTCTTCAATTCAACTTGATTCTGAAAATCAAATTATCAAAATATAAAATCAGTGGTAAATTCAAAATTTGAAAGTACTTTAAGCACCTCATTCTGTCTTAAATAATAATGTATACACATATACAAGATATGCCCAAATTTTGCAAGAGATGGACAGAAAACAAGCTGAAAAAAATAATAATGTGTTCACGTACAGACAAGCGGTTACCATGCAATATACGCCCACATTTTGCAAGAGACGGACAGAAAACAAGCTGAAAAAAAAAGTGATTTTTCGTAAAATCAGCGAACATTATCCAGGAATTTATGGTTCGATATGCACCAATATTAAAAGGAATCGAAATCTCTGGGATATAAACTATATTTTAAGTTTAAAAAAAATCAGATAAAAATTCTGACCTCTAGAGGGTTCACAATCTTGGTATTACATACTTTTACACTATTTGCATACAAGGAGCAGCTATTTTGTCAGGCAGTTTTGGTCTGATTTTTATGAAATTTGAACTCAACTGTCCTTAGGTTGTAACACTGATATATTTAACCGTTTTTTTAAATCGGGATTAAAATTGTGACCACTAGAGAGTCCACAAGCTAAAAACTGACTTTTTTTGTACAATCAGGGGCCATAATCCAGGAAGTTACGATTCGATATCGTAATATCAAAAGGAACCGAAATATATATATTAAGTATCATCAAAATCGGACAAAAATTGTGATCCCTAGCTGGTCCACAACCTTGGTATTACATACTTTTACACTATTTGTGTTCAAGGATTGGCCATTTCATCAGACAGTTTCGGTCCAAATTTTACGAAATTCGAACTCAATCATCATCAGGGTGTAACGGTAATATATATAACTGAATTTTAAAATCGGATGAGAATTGTGACCTATAGAGGGTCCACAAGCAAAACTCATGAATTTTTCATACAATCAAGGGCCATAATCCAGGAACTTTGATATGCGTGAATATCGAAAGGAACAGACATCCTTGGGAAATAAAGACATGTTTCAAGTTTCATCAAAATTGGATCAAAATTGTGACCTCTAGAGGGACAACAACGTTGTTATTACATACTTTAGCACTATTTGTGTACATAGACCAACCATCTTGTCCGGTAGTTTCGGTCTGATTTTCAAGAATTTCGAACTCCATCATCATTATGGTGCTACGGTGATATACTTGAACGTTTTATTAAATCGGTTAAAAATTGTGACCTCTAGGGCGACCACAAGCTAAAAATCACGGGCCATAATCCAGGAAGGAAGTTGTGGTCCAAATTACGGGGATATCAAAAGGAACCGAGATTATTAACATAGATTTCAGGTTTCATCTAAATCAGATAAAAATTGTAAACACTAAGCTAAAAACGTGATTTTTCGTACAATCAGGGGCCATAATCCACAAAGTTTCAATCCGATACATGACAATATCGAAACGAACCTATATTTCAAGTTTTGTCTAAATCGGATAAGAATTGTGACATATGGATGGCCAGACATGAAAATGTTGGCATTTAATACAATAAATACTGTTATTTTGTCTTTTTAAAACCAATCTGTAGATACAGAAAAAACTCTGAACAGGGACAGCCTACATTTAAACCCTATCACACAGTCAATAATTTCACTAAATTTGTACTTGATGATTAACTGAAAGTGTAAATTTGTTGGCATCAGCAATTATCTTGAAGGTATATCACAGTATTCCGGAGAGAGGCATTTTAATCAATAAAGACTTTGTTGTAATTCGAAACTCAGATAAAAATGCATCCATCAATGTACTCAACTTTTTAAATAAAAGCTTGTATTCAGTGGAGTCAAAATATTACATTGGAACAACATACATTTATCTTACAAAAACTTACGACTGTCCTATAGAAATTAACTTGTCCTTTAACATACATAATGACAGATTTGATTACATGTACCGGTATACATTCAGCTTACAGAGAGCCACTGAGGTCCATGATAAAACACAGTCTTGGGAGCATGAGCTTCCACTGCTTCTTAAAATCCCTCCTTATTATCACATGCTGTATGTTTATCAAGACAACTATTAGAAGACAAAAATGAAATATTTTCTCTGGAGTCTGGTAGAGATACGATACTCATCATAAATCAACACAAGAATATAACAAACTCTCCAGACAATACCCAGACGAACAAATCATAAAAAAATCTCTTTCATCTATTAATTCCCCGTATTTTACAGACTTCTCACTATCTTGTCTAACGTCAATGACATGTCAAATAAAACCCTCCTTTATATATTTTATAGGTGGCCATAACGTCATAATTATAACAGGTACTCTTTCATCTATAAAATCATGTAACACTTTCCCATTAGAAACGTTACATTGAGACTAACATACGGTTAGTGAATAGATCTTTCACATCATAGTTTTCTAACAATTTGTCTCCAAGGCTGTATAGGGAAGGGAATTTTGCCAAAGTAACAGAATTTCTTGAATTCTAGAGTCAATGTTTCTTAATGTGCACTGATATTCTGTGAAACAGACCTCATTCATTTGTTAATTTCAAGGACAGGGCACAGAGGCTTAAAATGACATGACTTCTTTAAAATATGATCAAAAGCAAAATTGTTGATTTTAATAATTTTATATGTCGATTTTTTTTTGTGATGTGAAAGTCCATTAGAAAAATACACACCCATATATAAAGCCAATTTTGAGATATAACTGCATTAATTAATTAATATTCAGCAGACAATGACCTTTGCCAAAAATGAAACTAAAATTGGTAAGCATAGAGCTTGCTTAGATAAGTTATCAAAATTTATCAATTTATTTTTACCTACAATGGTGGGAACATGGTTTGGCCAATCATGATTCTAGAGACCCACTTCCATTAACTTGGATCAGAACAGATTTAAATGCTGACGAATAAATCTGGCGAATAATGTATATTTATATACAACGGTAATTTACATCTGAGGAATACATTCCCACATTCCACATTAAAAGCATCTTCTTTACCAATGCAAATCTTATTTTCTCTTCTTATTGAACGCTTCTACGTGGAAAACAGGTTTTACGTTAATTCTCTTGAGCAAATCAATAATAGAAGAGGTGTTTCATCAAGATTAGCCGTGGATTACACGAGAATTACAACTCGTAGCTTTTATACTAAGTTGGTGAAAGAAAAGTGTGAATGTGATGTTATCTTGGTCTTAAAGGAAAAAAATCACACGTTTTCTATGGTGCTATCCATACTTATCAAAACAATTACCATAAATAATTATAATTTTATACCTGTGGATTTCTAAAATCATTTTTAATAACGAATAATCAGTTGGAAGGGTTTTTATTCTTAATACTTGATCGTCAATTAATCTTTGTAAAATGAGAATCGTGATGAATTAAATACTTCCGCATATTTTTTCCAACACATTTTTTAAAAACGGCAATTCATTCACATTTTTTCTGAAAAAAAATATGTTCACTTAATAAAATTAATTAAAATTGTATATGATTTGCAAAATGATTATTGTAGATAATGAAGGATTATGAAAATAATTATGATGAAATATTATCTGTACTTATAGAAATATTTGATTATGTTCATTAGTTAATTAACATATTATATAGATGTATCATGTTTCTGCTTTTTATTAATCAGATTAAATAGTACATGTAATTTAATCAAATAGGCCTAATAACTAAAAGAATTAAAAAGAGACGGGTGTCACAGGCTCCTTATTTCAAATATGACATGAAAAGTGAACAGAAATGCATTTTTTACCAATTCCAGCATAGTTTACTTTTATTTGCCCAGTAATCAAAGATGTAAAGTATACCAGAAATGCAACTTCAAAATTAATTTTGCAGATCTATACCAACTTCAAGGCTACATAATACAACCAATTAAGATAATTGTATACGTCATAATATACTAATTTAAGGGTTTCTAAATACAGAATTTTAGATTATGAATAATTGCATTTTAAAATATTGACATTTTTGTCTTACTTTTGTGATATATGTATTAAAATTCACATCATATAATGTATGGAACTACCATTCTAATAAATGATTATTATACAAATTTGCAATCAATTGTCAAATTAAAATTAAAAAAGTGGAAATAAAGTCAAAAATGCAATGAAAGCATATAAAACGTAAAAATTATATAAAAAATGATTTAAATTAAGATTCCGCAAAGAGTAAATTTAATGATTTCAATTTTGTAGTTTCTCACCATGAAAGGGAAAAAGTTCATATTTTTTTTCTATTCTACTGCAAGATTAAAATAGTCTAAAATTTAAACTTATCATTCAAAATTTATACAAAATAGTTGGGAAAAAAAAAAAGACAAAACCCAGGAAAAAAAATCTTTTTACAACTTCCAATCAATTACTAAAAGAGGAATGAACTGTTAGTTGTGTTTAACTTTAAAAGCAAAATGGATTAGATGCCAATATATTACAACAGTACAATTGTTTGAAGTTTCAAAAGACAATCAGATAGAATGGAACTTTAAAACCTAAAAGAAACCATAATCTCCCTAGTCTTGATCTTTAAAACCACTGAAATATGCAATTTCCTACAAATAAACTGATCTCCATAAAAACAATGAACTAAAAATAAATCTTAATTTGGTACCTTGGGCCATAACTCATGCAACAAGTTGTTCTGAATAATCCTAATGGATGACAAATTCCCTTGTGAGCATGTGCATTTCACACTCCATAATCACACATTTGCTGATCAATTTTCTAGCCAATATGATTTGTTAAGAGTAACCATATGTTAGGCTATAATTCCCTCACACTGCCCTTTAAACCTAAAATAACTTCCCCAAAATTGTCCAATAATGTCACTTTAAAATATAAGATAATTTCTATTTTAAGGAATTAAGTCACTTCCTATTATTTACTTGATCCACCCACGGTTCAAAATAAATGCATGCACCAAAGTCTACAAAAGATTTTTTTGGGTTTTTTGTTTTCGAAATCAAGGAAATATGGGATTCCATGTTCAAATATAAGAAAAAAAGAG